GTATTTAATAGCGAACCCCAATTCTCAGGAAACTCACTTTCAATTTGAATAAATATTATGATTTCTTTTCTTCTTTCTTCTTTATATGAGTTTCAGGATGTAGGCGATCATGGCCCTCCACTTCCCCCTATGCCTTGTGGCTCTCAACAGGTTTTGTGTTTCTGCCAACTCTCCCAGGACCACGCTCTGCCATCCACCTGCCCAAGCCCGTTACATGTGTCATGCACTGTTTTCCCCTGTCTCTTTTTCCCCGTCAGCATCAGATTCTCCAGGCCCTGATTTCTCATCACGTGTCCCAGGAATTTCATCTGCCTCTTCCTTATCTTAAGCATAAGCTTCCTCCTTGTTTGCATCCTCTCCAAGACCTCACAGGCTCGGTCCATGATATCCTCAGCATCCTTTTGCAGAACCACATCTCCTTTGCCTCGAGTCTCTTCTTCATCTTTGAGGATACCGTCCAACATTCGCTGCCGTACAGGAGAACAGATGTCACGTAGCAGCTCAGTACTCTTTTCTTTGTCATCATAGAAATCCTCCAGTACTCTGCCCAGCATCCTTGGCCATCCCAATACGTCTTCAGCGTCGCACCTACCGTCCTCCGTCAGAGCACTTCCCAGATACGTAAACTTCCGCACATGTTTGATTTTAGTTTTCCCGACCTGCAAATCGCATTTTGGGTTCAACCTTTTACTGATGACCATGCATCGCCTTCTTGTAGTTTATAGTTAGTCCTTTCTTCTCGCTCTCCCTCGCTACCTTCTGTAGGAGGTTTTGTAATTTCTTTTCCGTGTCTGCTATCAGTACCGTGTCATCTGCGTACCTTATATTGGTAAGGTTGTGGCCGCCAATGATGAATCCTGGTAGAATCTTTTAATACTTTAAATACTTATATTTTTAACTGTAAGCGGAAGTTCTATGCTAGCAGTTTCTTCTTTCGCACTCCTAACTTGTGAAACTCTCTTCCGGCTTCATGATTTCCAGTCAACTTTGATCTTCAAACATTTACATGCAATATCCATCGTTATCTTCTGTCGTCTTTATTCCTGTTCTTTTATTATCCAAATCTCCTTGATAATGTCTTTTTCTCATATTTTATCACGCTCAGTAACCACTTGCGTCTTAGCGGCTTTAGAGCCTTGAATTTTACGCAGTTCATTGTTCTTTTGTTTAGCGAACCTTTCGTCTATTAGTGCACCGCTGTGTTAGGTTGTATTAGACGTATTGTCATTTATTTACACACTTACTTGAAAGTTTAGCGATGTTATAAAGATCGCTCCAAAACTAATACATACTAATTTAATATGTTCGTCCATGAAGTATGAGCCGGGTGTTGTTCTTTAATAAGCCTATTTCTGGCAGAAAGACACATGTATGGGCCACTGAATGTGGATCGAACACAATACCCAGTAATAATTTTCAACCAGACTAGTTATTTAACCACGCCGATGTATGGCACATATTTTTGTGTTACCCAGGGTACTCAAGTGTTCTCTCAGCTATAAGCTCATTAGGCTCAATATTGCTTAACCTCGATTTTCGAACAAAAAGCTTAGTCCACAAATATGTTATTCCTTCAGTAGGTCTGGTGTGAGTAATATTTTCTAATGCTTATTTCCTTATAGTTATTTAAGCACTCTGAGGTATTTCACAAATTTGTTTAGGAATTGGTTTTGGTTTCGGGGTTGGTTTAGTTTGGTTTGGTTTGGTTTGGTTTGGTTTACGGCATATCAATCTCAATGGGTTACTTAATACCGACAAACTTTTTATTGCTGGTAATGTTTTTCTTCAAAAATCTATTTCTGGGAATATTTTTCTTTGAAGAAATCTATAGTTGGTCATTTCTTTTTCAAAGAATGTATAGCTGTTTGTATTGCTGGCATTTTAAAAATTTTTTTATTGCCGATAATAATTTTTCCTTCAAAAATATTTGCTGGTAATAATTTTTTTTATTACAAAGTATTTCTAGTATTAAAACCTATTTTTACATAAATTTGGGTGTGAACTATTAGCCCATAGGTAGGACCCTAACAGGTGCTACCACCCTGGGTCAGGGTGGACCTGGGAACAGCAGCAATTAAGAGGTGGTTCCACGCTCCTCAAAACCTCCTGATCAGAGGCCTTGCTGTTGGACGTAGTTTATCGTTTTTCCCAGGACGCGGATGTAGTTTATCGTCATACCCAGGATGATATCTGGGGTACCCAAGTGTTCGTTCATCTATATACTCATAGGGATCAATATATATCAAGATTAGTTTACTTTGATACAAGGCCACGAGTATTTAATTCCTTCAGTAGATCAGGTGTGTGTTAAATTTTCCAATGTCTATTTTCTCATAACGTGTTTCAGGAACGTCTACTCTTACTGATTTTATGTATGAGTGATTTCCAACTTCCCATTTTCTTCAGAACTTCCTCATTGCTCACGTGTTCTGTCCATGTTATTCGTAGTGTCCGTCAATCGCTTTGGGTCTCCTCATCATATGTGAAGAAATTGCCCAGCGCTCACAGTCATACAGGTTGAGAGATATGATATAGCAATTTAGAAGTATTTTCTTTATTTCTAACGATATTTCCTTTTGTCTTAATACTTTTCTTAGTTTCTGAATGGCTTCTTTCGTTTTTCTGATGCGACGACTTTAGATCACCGTGTCCCATTTTCCATCGGCTGTTATGGCACTGTTCAGATTTCTATACCTTCTTGATTCTTATGGCCGACACTTTTGGATAATTCTCTAGTGTCTTTGAAAACAGCTTCTTTCAGTGCCATGTGTTCTCAAGTGGATAAAGGCGTTAGATCCAGTGACAGGACCCAAAGAGTGTGAGTTCAATACCTAGTTAAGGCAGTGGAGAACTTGGAGAGGGGAATTAACAGGAGGCAACTGATAACTGGCATACATTAGACATGGCACGTGGAACTAGAACAGTCTACCCCAGCGAGCGAAATAAAGGGTTCAGTTTGACATTCCGACCACCTGAAGAAAGCCGGAGCGTACAATAGCCGAAACGTTGTAATAAATATGGCGGCAAAGATGAAGATGATAGTCCTAATAATGTAAATAGAGCTCTTTTTTAAACTTTTTTTTTTACTTTAGTTGTATGTAGCGATACGGTTATTGGTGCAAGAAATACGATTAGCGAGGTTAGGTCAAGTTCCGTTTTAGTCTGGTTCATTCCGCTGTCACTGTTGCCTTTGGGAAAGTCATGAATCCATTTTTCTCCCATCTATGGGTTAAATAACAAGTTAAATTTAACTCACGGACTTTAGGGTGGCAGACAGTCTAGAAGACCCAACTGGAATTATTGGATCTCTGCTCTACGATTTTCAATTCTGAACCGTTATCCATTACTCCATTACTCCATACTGGTACCGGTGTTTCTATGTGATATGGAAGTAACCCATAATTTTCTGGAGAGCTATGAATGCCTGAAAGGACATAACATGTAAAAAGAATCGAGAGATTAATACACGAATTATTATGATATTAAAAACAGAAAATCTGGCTCTATTCTTAAACTCCCTCAGGTGGCACACGGTATAGAAGGACAATTCTGGATGCTAAACAGGGAGGAACGCAAAGAGAAAAGAATTCATTATCTTCGCCGAGAGGTCATGACTATATAAGAATAATAAGGAAAAGAATTCTCTGGATATCTACGATTTTCTTCCTCTTGACCGTGCATGGCATAAAAAATTCAAATTGATTAACACCAAAAATTATAATCACATCGAAAACAGAAAATCAGAGGATATTGCTCGACCAGTAAATGTTTTAAGGCGGCAGCCAGTCGAGACGGAAAATGAGAGTGAATTCAAAAACATTGAAAAGACAACGGGAAACCACTCCACTATTTTTGTCAGTAAGTCATTTTAGTTTAAATATAATAAAGGAACTAATTTTCTGCTCGTCTACGTCCTGAAGGGGGTAGATCTATAATGTGGTCCGAAAGTCTTGTCATCAGGAAATTTTCTATTTCAGATGGCTGACACGAGCTCCGACACGAAAATG